GATGAGTGTAACATCGGGATGAGCTTATATCTTTAGAAATGTCAATAATTGAGAAATTATAGTGTATTTTGTGAACTATTGACATTTTTAAAGATATAAGCTCATCCCGATGTTACGGTCATCGAGACCTTTTATTTGAGTACTCACATCAATTTTTCATATATTTTACTTGCAGTCCATCCCGGCTTTGCACGGCTATTTAACAAAAATTTCAACATTAATTATGATGTTATATAGCCTATGTTACCCGGGGATAGTGTAGCTTCTCAACAGTGAAAGAATTTTTCAAATTGGTTCAGTAGTTTCAGAGCATATTCGATGCAAACAAACAAATAAACAAACAAACAATCAAATCTTTCCTCTTTATAATATTAGTATAGAAGTATAGATTTAATATCAAATGTGTGAAAATAAGTGCGATTTTTTTTTCAATTAATATAATTCATACATGGTGATTCAGAATTACTTCTACAACTAAAAAATTTAGAAAATGGGAACGATTCTAAGCATGAAGTTCCTCAGTTATTTTTAAAAATTTTAAGTTGTTTTTGAGTTATTCACCAATTGTATGTTAGAACTGGAATTTAAGATAATATAAAAAAAAATGAATATTACAATTTGGCAACTTCGCAATAGTGAACTTCAAGTCATACATTAATTTTTTATTTATTTAAAAAGTCCGAATTCTATAAAAATTCTTAAAGATAAAACAAAACACGTTATCAATCTCGAATATAATTTTAAGCAAATTGTCTTTGCTTCCCTTTTTTATTACTTCAATAATTAACAATAATTACAGGCATTTTTATATTCATGAAAATAAATATAATATCATTATACAGAAATTACTTGATTTTACTTCTATTAAATGAAATAAATACAGCATGTAAAAATTTCATTTTTGGGAATTCTTATACCTAACCGGTTGAAATTGAAAGGAGAGAAAAACTTAATGACTAAAGGTTAAAGAAATTTTAAACAAAATTGAAATAAAAAATTAAAACAAAATTCAAAACTAAAAATAAGTCTAAAAGACAGGAAGTCTTTATTTTAGTCTTATTTTTTGTCTTGAATTTTGTTTTAATTTTTTATTTCAATTTTGTTTAAAATTTCTTTAACCTTTAGTCATTAAGTTTTTCTCTCCTTTCAATTTCAACCGGTTAGGTATAAGAATTCCCAAAAATGAAATTTTTACATGCTGTATTTATTTCATTTAATAGAAGTAAAATCAAGTAATTTCTGTATAATGATATTATATTTATTTTCATGAATATAAAAATGCCTGTAATTATTGTTAATTATTAAAATAATAAAAAAGAGAAGCAAAGACAATTTGCTTAAAATTATATTCGAGATTGATAACGTGTTTTGTTTTATCTTTAAGAATTTTTATAGAATTCGGACTTTTTAAATAAATAAAAAATTAATGTATGACTTGAAGTTCACTATTGCGAAGTTGCCAAATTGTAATATTCATTTTTTTTTATATTATCTTAAATTCCAGTTCTAACATACAATTGGTGAATAACTCAAAAACAACTTAAAATTTTTAAAAATAACTGAGGAACTTCATGCTTAGAATCGTTCCCATTTTCTAAATTTTTTAGTTGTAGAAGTAATTCTGAATCACCATGTATGAATTATATTAATTGAAAAAAAAATCGCACTTATTTTCACACATTTGATATTAAATCTATACTTCTATACTAATATTATAAAGAGGAAAGATTTGATTGTTTGTTTGTTTATTTGTTTGTTTGCATCGAATATGCTCTGAAACTACTGAACCAATTTGAAAAATTCTTTCACTGTTGAGAAGCTACACTATCCCCGGGTAACATAAGCTATATAACATCATAATTAATGTTGAAATTTTTGTTAAATAGCCGTGCAAAGCCGGGATGGACTGCAAGTAAAATATATGAAAAATTGATGTGAGTACTCAAATAAAAGGTCTCGATGACCGTAACATCGGGATGAGCTTATATCTTTAAAAATGTCAATAGTTCACAAAATACACTATAATTTCTCAATTATTGACATTTCTAAAGATATAAGCTCATCCCGATGTTACACTCATCAAGAGCTTTCATTTGAGTACCCACATGCATTTTAATTTAGAAAATGGGAACGATTCTAAGCATGAAGTTCCTCAGTTATTTTTAAAAATTTTAAGTTGTTTTTGAGTTATTCACCAATTGTATGTTAGAACTGGAATTTAAGATAATATAAAAAAAAATGAATATTACAATTTGGCAACTTCGCAATAGTGAACTTCAAGTCATACATTAATTTTTTATTTATTTAAAAAGTCCGAATTCTATAAAAATTCTTAAAGATAAAACAAAACACGTTATCAATCTCGAAAATAATTTTAAGCAAATTGTCTTTGCTTTCCTTTTTTACTATTTCATTAATTAACTATAATTACAGGTATTTTTATATTCATGATAATAAATATAATATCATTATACAGAAATTACTTGATTTTACTTCTATTAAATGAAATAAATACAGCATGTAAAAATTTCAGTTTTGGGAATTCTTATACCTAACCGGTTGAAATTGAAAGGAGAGAAAAACTTAATGACTAAAGGTTAAAGAAATTTTAAACAAAATTGAAATAAAAAATTAAAACAAAATTCAAGACAAAAATAAGACTAAAATCAAAACTTCCTGTCTTGGTTTTAGTCTTATTTTTTGTCTTGAATTTTGTTTTAATTTTTTATTTTAATTTTGTCTTACTTTTTATCTTGAATTTTGTCCTAAAGTTTTTTAACTTTTTGTCTTTAAGTTTGTTTCTCTTTTTAATTTTAACCAGTTAGGTGTTAAAATTTCCAAAAATGAAATTTTTACATGCTGTATTTATTTCATTTAATAGAAGTAAAATCAAGTAATTTCTGTATAATGATATTATATTTATTATCATGAATATAAAAATGCCTGTAATTATTGTTAATTATTGAAGTAATAAAGAAGGGAAGCAAAGACAATTTGCTTAAAATTATATTCGAGATTGATAACGTGTTTTGTTTTATCTTTATGAATTTTTATAGAATTTGGACTTTTTAAATAAATAAAAAATTAATGTATGCCTTGAAGTTAACTATTGCGACGTTGCTAAATTGTAATATTCATCCTTTTTATTTTTTTTCAAATTCCGGTTTCCAATTCTCATATATGATTGGTGAATTAAAACCGTGAATAACTCTTAACTACGAACAATTTTTAATAATGACTGAGGAATTTTATGCTTAAAATAATCCCCTCGACCTAAATTTTCTCTCTGTAAAAGAAATTCTGAATCACCTTGTATATAAGCATATACAGTCGAATCGCGTTATGAGTCCGGCTTGTTTTCTTTGTTTTTTAACCAGACTCGCGTTAATAAGAGAGAGACACAAGGAGGGCTCATAACGTGACTCGACTGTATTTACAATATTCATTGGTTTTTTCATAAAATGAAGCAAATTTTTTGTTTTTATTTGTTTATCAAAATTTTAATACACAAATATTTATGAACACGAAATTTCTTTGAGTAACAAAAAATTAGAAAAAAAAATATTTCTTTAATTTCTTACTTTAATGAAAAAATAGGTTAAAAATTGATCGAAATATGTTATTTTGAATCAGAAGTACAAATGTAATTTCAATTTTTTAATAAAACTCTTTGATTATTGAAATTTGAATATCATGAGAATTTTATTAAAAAATAAAATTTTTATCAACAGTAAAAGAACCAAATATTGACCAGGCAGCGTGAAAACTTAATTTAAAAAAATCTAGTATTTTTATTTAATATTCAGGGCATAATTATTAATTTTTCATTATACTTGAAATAAATATTTGTGCAGACACAAAAAAAAATATACAAAATTTTTAGAATAAAAATAAAAGATATTTGTGTACAAACATTAGAAAGTTGTGAAAACTGGTAATTATTACTTAACCTTGTTATGATTGGTCATTTATGATAAATTTATTTATTTATTGGATTAATATCCCAGGGCTTAGCCAAATAGCAAATTGTACAATGTCTTTAATATTTAATGAGTCATAACTAAGATTTATGTTTCAATTTATATTAAATAAATTAGTTCAAAATCATTATCTAAAGATTTGTCCAAACAATTCAATATTAAATATTCATAACAACAATTGGCGTTATAAATTATACATAGTACTTAATGTTCGTTCAATTCCGGCCATTTACTTTCTTTTATTTTGATTTCTTTTATATTGAATAACTATTTGGTTAATCAGATCGAGATAATTATCCATAAAGATTCATTTAATGGCTACAAAACTTATGGAAATTTAATAATTATATGGAAAAAAGACTATTTTTGATTAGATAATTATTAATTTAAAAATTATAACTATAAAAAAATCATAATACTTGCTTCAGCTCATAAGTTCTTCTTATAAATTTACAAATAATTTATTTAAATTGGTCAATATTTGGAAGCTTTTCCCTATACTTATTTAAAAATTTTTTTTTCGAATTTCGCGTTCCTGGGATGAACGATTACAAGACTAAAAGATGGAATTTTTATTAGTAACACTTTATTTACATTCAGAAAATTGTCTTTAGAATGATTTGATTAATTAATGAACAAATATACAAACTTCAAAATTGAAATATTTTCTGTTTATTTGTTAAATTTCAAAATGTTAAAATATTTTCAATATTTTGAATAATTATCGTCAGTTTTTTACTCAATTTAAGATGATTAAACTTTTCAAAATAATATTTTTGATCTAAGAATTAATCTTTTGAATTAAGGTAATTTTTATTACTATATGTTCCATGGTTGACTTTTCTTTTATACACTTACAGCTACATTTCCAACACACAATCATTTTTTGTTTTAAAAGTTTCAGATCAATTTGATAAATATTTTGCTATTCTATTATCTTTAAAATTTGTATGTCTGAGTAATCAATAAAATTGAAAAATCATGAGTTTCTTCTTCAAATAAAATCAATAATTAAAATTAAGTCAATCTTGATAGATATTCAAAATAATCATTTAAAAAATTGCTCATTTCTTAACTCATAATTAATTTATAAGAAATACTTAGTCATACCTTACTATTATCCTCTTTTGTCTCTTCTTGGTCAGCAAAATTATTTTCTTTGATAATAACAATTGGTTCAATGTATTGCTGTGGTGGATCATCGAACATGTCATTTTCAGAGTCGGTCTCGCTAATGATACGACGATTCCTTCTGATTACTCCTCCATTTTCTCGATTATTTTCAGGATCAGACGAGTTTTGTTCAATTTCATCTATTCCTGACAATAAGTTGTCACTTAAATGGGTATCAGTAGTGATCTTAAACGAGATAAGTAATATTAATATACAATAAATTATTAAAACAACTAGTAAGCTTAAGTATAGAAATCTTAACACTAGCTTATTTTTCTGATTTTTTTACATACTTTTTCAGATTTTTCTTTTTGGATTTGTTGATGAGCCTGAATTATGTCTTCTGTTCTTTGCATTTTAGTCTTCGATTCATTTTGTTTCTTGATCTGTAAGTACAAATTAACAAAAATTATTATTATATTAATAATTCTGCTATGGAATATACAGCTATGAAGTTAATAAATTTTGTTTATACCTTTCTCGATTGTTTAGCCTTAGTGACAGCCGATTTTTTGTCTTCATCATCATCATCGGTAGACGTGTCCAGAGCTGAGGGGTTTTTTATCTTCTGATCTCGGACACGCAGATTTTCATCCGACAGTTCCTGCATTGAATCTGAAATTTATCATATTGGTGTAAAAATAATTGTTCGTCAATATCCTCGATCATAGAATTGACGGTCAGAATTGTATGAAACTTGGCATACTAGTACATTATAATAAGACTAGAAATTTGAATAGCGCGCTACGCGCGCGACTAAATTTTAACCAATAATGAATCGTGGCCCGTTTTTTTGCGAGTTTCGACCTTTGACTAACTTCAAGACTATCATGTATTTTAATTTTAAGGATAATGAACTAGTTACTTTTTTTTGAGTGCTGCGGGCCCGTTATAAATTTGATGACATTAAAGTTAGCTGTCACTTTACAATTTTTTAATTTTATTTAATAAAAAAATTTGTTCCAAAAAATTCTTTAAAAAAAAATGCATTTTTAATTTTTTTAAATTTCTACATGTCAATTTTTTTTTATAATTTTTTCTTGCGATAATTTATTTGTTATAAAATTCTTAAAATTATTAAATATGTGCTAGATTAATTTTCATTATAATTTGTTATTAATTAAAGTATAGCGAATTGCCGCGTAACGCACCAACAACGCGACATCTATGATATAATCAGATAATACAATTCTATTTATTTTACCTCATACTACAATCTGGCTAAAGAGACACCCCACGGCCACGAGAAAAGGTTGTCATAAAAATAGTTGAGAAAATCAAAATAAAAGTACACACGCGTACACAGACAAATACACACCAATACACATAAAGCTTGTCTTAGCTTATGGACAGTCAGAGTATAATGTTGAATGTTGAATGAGTCGTCCATGCCCTGTCGGACGAATTCTCACACTTAAAAGGTTATATTTAACCTCTAAAAAAGTAATAATTGTGACTTTAAATGTGGCTTACATGATATATTCACCTTTAAAACAAATTAAAATCGAATTAAATATGTGTTGTGTAGTTATTAATTTTATCACCTTACGAATCAGGAAAAATTGTGTGATTTTTAAAATTTAATTTTCGTGTACTGTTTTGTATTATTCCAAAACATGTTCACGATAAACAGGTTTTATTGGATGGGTTATTTTTTGCAATCATTCAAGGACAAAAGAAACTTTGACAATATTTCGTGAAATTATGGAAGGAACATATCCGCTGTACTTAAAAAATAATTGTCAATCTGTTATTTATAAATATTTAATACTTTCAAGTGCCTATTTAAAAGTATTAAATATAGTATATGAACGAAAAATATAATTTCCTTTCAATTTTGATTTATAATTATGCCATAATTATAGATTAAAAAAATGTTTTTTTATCTCCGTAATCGTAGTGTGAGAATCATCATACTTGGTTTCGTAATTCTCAGTATTTACATGTACTATCGTACTACTGTGGATTCGTACAATAATTTCATTGAATTTGTAAATCCAAGTAAGTATTATATACTTTTATTATGTTTTTTTGAATTTAAAATCGAAGTATAAAATATTTAAAAATATTTTAGGTAATTTCTCATCTAATCACGAATTACAATTTGATAATGTCACTGTGGAATTATCATTTATGTTATTACAAAAAAATACAAGTTTTGAACATCCAGTTACTAAGTCAAGTATATCACACAACGCCAATAATTTATCAATTTCGACGTCAGTATCGCCACAATCAATACTATTGATAAATAATTCTATTAGCCTGCAAATAAATAATAGCAACATTACTTCAGATTTACCATTAAAATTATTAGTTACAAATTCAAGTTTTGCAACATTGATCCATGATGAGACCGCACGTGCTATTTATCAAGGTGGTCATGACGTAACAGTGCCTGAAAAATGTCCAATGAATGGTAAAAATATGAATCTAGTCATAGTTGTTACTTCTGCACCATCTCATATTGAAGCCAGAACAGCTATTAGACAGACGTGGGGACATTTCGGTCAGAGAACCGATGTTAGTATAGTTTTCATTCTTGGAACGACTAATGATCATAAATTGGAGAAACTTCTTCAATACGAACAAAAACTTTATGCAGATATAATACGAGGCAGATTTATTGATTCTTATAATAACTTAACATTAAAAACAATATCATCTCTGGAGTGGAAAGATACATTTTGTTTAGATGCTAAATTTTTACTTAAAACAGATGATGATATGTTTATTAATGTACCAAGACTGTTATCATTTATAAAAGCACATGATACAGAAACAAATGTGATATATGGAAGATTAGCAAAAAATTGGAAACCATTTAGGAATAAAAAAAGTAAATATTACGTTTCATTAGAACAATTTAAGCAAAAAGTATTTCCGGATTTTACAACAGGGCCAGCATATCTATTATCAAAAGATGTTGTTCATAAACTTTATGAAGCTGCGTTAGATCAAACTTATTTAAAGCTTGAAGACGTATTTACAACTGGTATTGTTGCTCATAAAATTGGTATTAAGCGTATTCATGTTAGTGAATTTTTAAATAAAAAAATCTCATACAATCCGTGTAATGTCCAACATGGGATAAGTATACATATGGTTAAATATGGTGAACAATTTGATCTTTGGAAAAAATTATTAGATGGTAAGAGTAAATGTAAATTATAAAACAAAACATCCAATTATTGATTTGAATTTTCTATTGAAAAAGTATTCAATCTCGAATTAAACATTTTATAGGAAAGATACAATTAATTACCAATTCCTCAACGAATTTCGTATTTTGAGATTATTATTATTATTAAATAACAACGAGATATTTATGTTATTTATGTTTCACTTAATTTGAAAAGTAAAGACAACTAAAAATCTGTTCAATATGGCATTTATGTAATTTTAGTTTTAAAGCTCAATCTTAGGGCTTCATTGTCACAAAATAAATCATAATTTTTCTTATAATTATATCTTACGAATAAGTTAATTACTATTATAATCATAAATTTTGGAGAATCTCTTAACATTCATGTCAGTATATTATTTACACTCACAAAGTGTTTTTACAATCATACTTTCACATTAATTTCAGAATAAAATTACGTCATTTTCTATTTATCATTATTATCATTCCGTTGAATTATCTCAAATACATCTCTGACGATATTTTTATTAGCTTGCCTACATCAATAATCTATTTTCTTTTTAAGAAATTGTAAATACTCAATTTTGATCTTTAACTTAATTTAACAAGCGTAAATTTTATACTGTTCTGTAAAGTACTGCTTGACAGATTATGCATGATAACGTAATGTACTATTATTATTATTATTATTATTATTATTATTTATCACCAAGTTTTATTCTTAGCTAATTGATCAAATATTGCAAAGTGAACAAAAAAATATTTTTTAAAAATAAAACACATTTAAAGCATAAAGTACTATTAACAATTTTGTATTAAATGAATTAAGTATTATCAGTTTAAACTATTTTTTTCAAGATCTGTTAATACTGTGATAAATTATTTACTTAAAATAGTTTTAAAATAGCCGTTTTGTATGATTTTTAATTAAATTGTACTGACTTAAATTTTTAATTAATCTTAAAATATTTTAAGCGTGCAATGAGATTTAACTTTTCTAAAAAAAATACGTATTTCACTTGATTATGATATGTTCACATTTAAGTAAATCATAAAACAAACATTACATTTTTACTATGGTTTCTACACTATATATGCTTGATAGTGATTAGCCTGATAATATCAATTTTCCAATATGATATGTTTATAGTCATTAATAAGAAATTAGAGATGAGCCATGACTAATACGTGTTTTGAAATAAATTGAAAAATTTTCAAGTAATTACAATACATGCCATAAATTCCATACATATTTTATCATTTGTTTAAAAATACATTCTAAAGTTTTATTTGTTATAATTTAAAAATAATTGTCATTTTCATCGAAGAATTTGAATCCCGTTCTGAAATAACTGTATATATTATAATGATTAATATTTACACCTATATTATATAAATATAAAATAATAGGTAACGAAATAAATAACGAATACTATGCAATGGAGAGACTTGTTATTATGCTCTCATTTTATTTTTGAATTCAAGGAATCATTATTTTATTTATATAATCTTTTACTTAATTCTGGTAATTCTGTTTCGCGAGCATTTTCATTTTACGGTCATTGTAATTAAGAAAGAAAATTAAACATTATGCAAATGATTACGTAACTAGAACTAATTTTTCCATTTGTTGACATTATAAATAAATGGATAGTATTCTCATATACCTGTATTTTTTTTGTAAATAATAGATGCAATTATAAAAATGATTAAAGTTTATTGATGTAATGTAAAATATAGTGTACAAATATTGCTTGCAATATACTTCAGTTAAATTTAAATAAATATAAAGTGAAAGTTTGCTTTATTAAAACAAATGGGCTTTTTACTTTATTAATATTAATATCATGTTATAATTATGTATATGAATTATATTGAATGCTTATTATTAATTTAACTGAAAAAAAATTATTTTGATCCTTCATTAAAATTATACATATTTTCATTAACTAAACATAACGATAATTTCAATATGATGGATGAACTTTTCTTTTTATTCAAGATAATTGTGTGACAATTTCTTCATGCTTACTAATAAGTATTATTATAATGTTCATTCAAGAGACTTTTCAATTTAATTCGGTTGAAAGTGATCTACTGCTACTTAAATATATTACTTTGATAATTGGAATTCGTGTTATTTTAAAGAAGAAAAATTTTTTTATTTCTTAAATTTTAAAGTATAAATCTAACTCCGTCTTTGATACTCGTGTAATTATTTTATCACGTAGATAAGTTAAAAAGTGTGAGTAATACGAAATTCTTTAATAATAGTATACATACTACTTATCACTTCCTCCCTTGATAACATTTGACTAATTCACATTATAATTTCTTATTTTAACTTTTTTTTTATTTAACTAATTTTCTTTTGTTTTTTTTTTGTAGAGAATTTTGAAAAAAAAATTTACTTAAAATGCTTAGAATGTTTTTTTTTCATCTGAATTTGATCTTGTAGAGTTTTA